GTATTTTATTATTATTATTATTATTATTATTATTATTATTATTATTATTATATAAATAAATTAAAACAATATCCAAGAAAAAAAATGTTATGGGGGAGATTTAAACATATACTTTTGTGCAGAGTCAGAAACACTAATTAATATGTCCCATACTTTTTGATCTCTTATCAACTACAAGAAGATCCTCCTATTCCCATACCCCTTTTCCATTGAACTCAAAATATATATTTTTTTTTTCATTTTTTGGTGTATTTATTGAGAATTTATTTTAAATATCACGATTCAAGATTGTGTATATCTCTCTAAATTGCCTTCAAGTAGCGAAATTTCTTATAACATAAATAGCGATCTACTTAAATAGTGTAATAGTTATTCTATTATTTCTAATATGAAAATTCAGCAAATTTGAATTCCTTATGAAAATACAAATTACTAATAACTTGACGATAAGATATCATACATTTTAACTATATACATATATATATCTTCTTCGTAACAAGCTTATTTAAATATTTATGATAACAGGAATTATTGACACACAATGACTTAAATTAGAAATTCGTTAACAAATGACCCAACATCAAATGATAATAATTCTATACCCTAAAGAAGTTTCATACACTCCTTATATTTATGTAGTATAGTTTAAATATTGAGAGTATTCAAGCAATTTAATTTGATCGTGAATATTTCAGACATGAAATCTTTTTAAAAATTCGAATGAAATTTATATAATTGAAAACTATAAAAAAAAATACTACTACAAGTCATAACAATAAATAACTTAAAATATTTACGAAATGTAAAAATTATGATAATTATTTTTATTCAAATTTCAAAATTTTTAAAAAATGTAATATTTATAAATTAAGACGGAAAGAATATATATATTTTTAAAATAGTGTGGCCATATGGACAGCTTTTGCTTTGCAATTTTATGTCTACCTTGAAAACAAGCAAATGAACTTAATTCAAATATTTTGTTTTTTCCTTGAAACTTTTATATGTTTTATTTTTCTTCTTTTTTGAACAAATGCTAAGTAAACTCACATGCACACAACTCATCAATTCCCCTTTTTTTCTTGTGGGGTTTCTCTTTGAGACAATGGGAGAAAACTTAACTCACACTAACACGTGTTGTCCACATTAAAAAAAAAAGTGAAAAATTCCTTTTTTTATCGTATTTGAAAATATATTAGATTCGAGTCTTAAGTATAAAATTATCTACACTTTACTCCTAGTGTGATCAGACTTCTCAATGTTAATTCTGATTTCACAGAATTTTAATATGAATATTGAATATCAGACGATACTTAGAAAGATTATATAGTAAAACTAATCAATTTCAATTTTTTTTCAATAGGACTTACGTTTTGTTGCCTATGGTGGGCTCCTATTTTTATTATTTTTATTTTATAATATGATGAGAAGCTAGTAGAATATTACAGCTAAATTCCCACTTGCATGTCCCCTAGATGTCACAACTCAAAAGAAATGCCAATTTTTCTTCCATATACTAATCAATAAGACTTTTTCGAATGGGAGTTTTGAAAATGAAATCTTTAATTGCCATCGATCGAAGGTTTTTTAAGATATGATATTGATTCTGATAGATTTAGAATTTAAATTTAATATGTTCGATTTATCTTGAGATTTTTTATAATTGCACCTTTTGAATTATATCAGTTTAGAATTAAAAAAAAAGTTAGTAGTTTTTCATGTAGATACACATATAGTACGTACATATGTATCAAAAGTATTATGATTAGTTGAACTCATAATCAGAATATTACACTCGTCTCTGATAATAAATAATATCATGTAATTATATAGTTTTCGATACATGAAAAATATTAAACATGGAACAGAGTAACATTAGGACAACTTATAAATAGCACAATCATTTTTAATAATTGAAACCATTCTTATATCAAATATGTTTATATGAATAAAATATGTGTTGAGTTACGGAGAGACGTATTTAAAATTTGAAAATAATGAATGCACTATTACGAAAAGATGATTTGTTGTTTTTCGATTTCTTGCTGGAGCTAGATGATGATAAATTATTATGTCCAAATCTTTTGGGAGATAGATATATAAAAATTCAGAAATTATGTGTAATTGATTAATATATTTTGTTATAAAGAGTAACATTGACAAATATTGTGGAGAGCCCACTTAATTACAATCCTATTAAGTCCTAATTAAACAGTAGAAACTATATATAGACTGTAGAGAAACATTTATTTCTTGATTGAAAACAAACTGATGTGAAATTATTATAAATAATTTTTAAAAAAAATTATATAAAAGGACAAGAGTCAAACAAAACATAAATTTGTTTTTATTAAAATTCAGGACATGGACCCAATAGGATTTAACTTATTTTCTAGTGTCTAAATGTTGGGGCAAACATTTAATTTAATTGGATAACAATAATCATTTTTTCACATCTTTATGGTTGTCTGTGCAACCAAATTAGTTTGTTCTTTGTTTTGTTTTTAATCACTTTGCAGTAGCATGATAGTTTGAAATTTTTAAGTTTCGGAGATTTCAGATTCGAACATCAGTTTTCTTTTGTTTATATAATGAATCATGTAAAATATAAATTTATATTTAATTGAACTATGATATAACTATCGAACTTTTTTTTTTGGATAGATTTTTCAATGATGTTATAATTACTAGTAGGTTAAAACCACATGCTTAGATATGATAAAGTAGACAAATTATATTATTCTCACTCTTTTTTCTTTACATATCAAGGCAAGAAGAGATTGGTCACAAACTCTTGAAACTGTCTGTGGATTGGATTACATATCACTAAAGAAGATAAAGAATTTATTAAAAGGAAAACGTGTATCGTAATTATGATTTCTTCATTTTTAATTAGATACTCTTTTTATCTGTAATTACTTGTTCGTTTTTGAAATAACATACCTACTAAAAAATAATAATTGATGCAGTGAATTTATTATTATATTTTTATTAAAAATATATTAATATCTAATATTCGATATTTATATAAATCAATAAATAGGAAAAAAATATGTTAACCCAACTGCGACTAAAAAGAGTCGTATGGTCAATATTTACCTTTCAATTAATCGGCGATACACGAACCAACAACGCCGAGGAAATTAAATGGGGTTATGCTGACGTGTCAAATATCTTTAGTCAGCTCAGCTGGAGCCGAGCCGAGCCGAGCCGTGTTCCTCTGCTTATCACTACTACATAGCTTATATGTTGCCATGTCAATATTCACTTTATTCTTATCCAACATTTTATTAAAAAGACAAAAATTACCCTTAATATTTTCTTCTATTTAGTATAAAAATAATGTGAGAGGAGTTTGAGTTTTAAGACATATTATTAAGAATAAAAATTTTCAATATGATTTAACTAATTCATTATTTTCAAAATGAATTTAAGTTGTATATGATGTTAGGTGTCTTTAAAAAAATAAAATTTTTAAACGGCCACTCAATTAAATGTTATTATTTCAAAATATTACTTTGTTTGTTGAAACAGTGGCAATTAAGTAAAAAAATAATTTTCAAAAATAATAATTATTAGTTAAGTGAACACCAAGATAAATTCTTGACATTAGATTAAAGTTCATAAGTAATAATTTATTTGTCTCAATTTATATGAATGTATTTGATTGATAATGAAACAAATGTTTTTCAAATTCATAGTCCAAAATAAGTTATATATATTCATATAGCTAGGATTTGTCTCAATAAAGATAATATAAAAAGTCTAAAGATTGAAAATATGAAAAATATGTCCTTTTAGTTCGATAAAAAATGTGTCACATAAATTAACATATAATTTTTTTAAAATGTCAATAGTGCATAAAACTTAAATTCAAGAAGATAACATACAATTTTTCTATCTCAATTTATATAAAGTATTTTTATTTTTAAAAAATCACGATTATAAATCGTTTTAGTAAGAGTAAAATGAACGTTCTAAAATAAAATCCTTATTAAATATAAATATGAATAAATATCACTTTTTATAACCGTTTGAAACAAGAAAAAGTGTCACTTAAATTAAAAATAGAAAAAAATATACTATATAATATATATATATATATATATATA